ATTGATAATCACCTTTAAACAGGATATACTTAATACGCAGTACCTTTGACACGGATTTTGGACTTATTATCAAAATACAAATAAAATATGTTGACAGGTGTCAACCAGATTCCGCTAGCTTAAAGTAACAGCCGGAATGTACACATTATTTTTTTTCCACAAGTGCGTATGTGTCACCTGTGAATGCATTTTCCTACCTACTAAATCTGAAGATAGCCAAGTTTGTTGGTATGATTTTCGTGTTCCTTATATTATTGAGCTTGGTAAGTATATCTTTAGGTTTTTGAAATATTTTGGTTTTAAATAAATAATGTCGATATTTTAAATCAATTCAACTTTATCTTTTTGTAAAAAGTAAGGGAAATATCATTTATCTTTTTTGTAAAAAATAGGGGAAATATCATTAATTGAATTATTTAACCCGTAGCTGAGCTGTAAGGCTGATGCTCAGGCAAGATGTCCCAGAGGTAGGCCTTTGAGGGGCGTTTTCTGCGGGCGAGGTCCAAATCGCCAGGATTGTCCAAGTGGATATTACTGTGAAATTGACCCTGCAGACAGATTCGCAATATGCTGTCCACGTATGTACAATCAAATATTTTATTATATGATTGAATAATTTCCATCTCTTTGATTGGCTGAGATCCAACTATGTTAGAAAAATACTACGTTGTATTGACCTGCACGTGACGTTCCAGGTCAATACAAGGATATATTTCCTCCATATTGATCTAAATATAGATTGGGAAATTCCAAATTGATACAAATTGTTTTGGAAAGCTATTTAAACGACTCTGATTTTTTTTCATGTGAACAAAACTTAAGCTAATATATATTTTAGGGTGAGGATGGTAAGAGGGGATGCAGGGACCCCCCTCCAACACTTTTACTGATCAACAATTTTCTTTTACTTTTTGGCAGTCAGTTTTCCCTGATATTCCTTCCTTTCAAAATCTATCCTATAAAAAAAGACTGACATTATATATTTCTTTCATGGCAACTAAAATTGATTAAAAAAAAACATTTCAAATTGATACGACTGGTAAGGTTTATTTTAAATCTGCTTCTCTCTTGTATTTGGCTAGGACTTAATAAAATGCAAACAATTAATGAGCTGTATCATTTTATCAGTGAATCATATAATAAAACAGTTATTGCTGTTTTTTGAGGTCAATACAATGCTTTAGCCATCTTCGAAGTACAATATTCACCTCGCCCTTCGGGCTCGGTGAATATTGTACTCCTCAGTTGGCTAAAGCATTGTATTGACCTCAAAAAACAGCAATAATTGTACAATATTTCCACATTTTATAAAAGTTTCGTAATTCATGAATACATGCACAGCCAAACTTCGCTAACTTGAATTCAATGGTTTTGATAAAAAATATTACGGTATTTGTAGTGTTTGTGTTCGATATACCTAAAGGATACAGTGTAGTTTGTTTAAAATCAAGAACGAATTAGCTATGCCTGTCATTCTTTTGATGAGAAATAATTTCCCCTCAATTAAAACAATGGTTTATTTATACAAATATAGACGTTATTCCATTTTTTGTGTTTAGAGTGTCCGGGAGGAAGGAAACCATTACCCGGTTCGTACTGTGGAGATGGCCCTAACTACCGGCCCTGCCCTCGTGGATACCAATGTAGTGTACACGAATTGGACGCCTTTGCTGTCTGTTGCCCTAGTAGTAAGTCTTACCTCAACGAATAGGACCATGTCTTTAAAGAATGTTTAAAACAATATTTCAAACATGGCCTGGATTTTTTTTTTTATATGATCTATATATGATCTATCATTAAGTCAAATTGCTGACTGGCGTTTTTCACACCAATTTTTAGGCTATTATCTATTATCTACACATTACTTTGTCGTGGTATTTTTTCCCGTAATTTCTAATTCCCGATCATTACAAGGAGAACACGACAGGTGTTCAAAGTTCTCTAACTATTTTTTTTCTTATTTGCATTTCAGGACGACGTGGATATGGAGTTTGAGAAAACACTTGGTTTAAGTCTTGTAATTTTAATCGTCCGTGTAGAAATTAATGTTTTTAAAATGTCAATTTCACTAGTACTGATGCATGGTTTGTTATTAATGCTTTCATCAAGAAATAAATTCCTTGTTATCAGTATTTTTATTTCTTTTTTGTTACGGAAGCTTATTAAAATAGAGAGCAGACTTAACATAACAGCTACTGTAAAGCCTGTAAATTATATTAAGTATATTATGTTTAGTCGAAATACATATCTTGAAGAGAAAAATATTTAGCATTGAGGTTCACGACCGATTCGTAATCGAGACAGCCACGCCTCTCTATATAGTAAATCCCGAACATCTGTTAATGTCTTGTGTCATGGTCATTTGCATAGTCACTTCCTCGGCATCAAACTGCACTCGACATTACGTTACAGGCGTAGGTCCATCGTACAGTATTCAAACAAATCAGAAAGTACGAAGGACATGTTTGCATTGAAAAGACAAGCGATGTTAAGCGAGTGTGTAATTGTAATTAATGTATTATTTTAAGCAGTATGGGTATTTGAAAAACCAAAACGTACTTGAAATCTGCATTCGTCCGTACCATGATCCGCTACATTGCTGTTACTACGGATATGCTTGCATGTCCTGAGGAAATCCGAGTGGAGTACCGTAGTAACGGGTGTCAATATTATGGAATGTAGTGTGAAATAGTCAAAATGCATACATGTACCCTTACCAAAAATATTGCCTTCCTGCAAATATTTGCTGAAAGTTTGCTGCAAACTTGCAGCAGACATTGCTGAAAGCTTGCGGCAATGTAGTTAAAGAAAGCATAACAGTCTATACAAAGACTTGGTGTTAGAACCAAGCTTGCAGTAAACATTTTACATGCGAATGAGGTTTGCTGCAGCAAACACTAGATTTTCAAAATGAGGAAACCTTGCTGCAAGACTGCGGCAAACATTGCTTCAAGCTTGCGACAAACATTGCTGTTTACTTGAAGCAAACAATTTCCTTATGGTTTTGGCACATTTTGTCCCGACTTAATTAAATCTAATAATTTTAGAGAAAATTCACCACATCAAAACGGTATATACTCCTAATAAAATACTGAAACATGTACAAATCCCATTCAAACATTTCGAAATGGCCAAATCTGTGTTGACCACATTACAATCTACATTAATCATAGGCTGATTTGACTTGTTTATTGTTCTTGCAAACTTACTGCAAACATTTAAATCATAAATTGTTTCCTGCGAACTTGCTGCGAACATTAAATTGGTGTGTATGTTTCTTGCAATGTTCCTGCAAATTAACATGCTGAGTTCCTGCGAAATTGCTGCAGTGTTTGCCGCAAGATTGCAGCTAGCAGCAATCACCTGCGAACAAGAAAATTTTCTTCCTGTGAATAATTTTGTTTGCTGTAAGCTTGCAGCAAACTTACCTGCCGCTTACAGCAAATATATCAGTTTGGTAAGGATATATACGAGTGTTTATATACGAACATGTATCAGTAAGCAAGGAACCCAGGAAACAGGTGCTTTTAATAATTCGTCGAACTGCAGCCTGTTTCCAATATTGTCAGATTTCGATTATCTTGTTTAAATTTGAATAATGTTTTTCCTGAAATTCTGTGTATCTTTAAATTGTTGTTTAAAGCAGTTAATTAATGAGTTTACATGGATTTCTCTTGAAAATAGTTTTCACGTTTCAGGGATGGGGCCATTACTTAAAAAAGTAATTTATTAAATTACAATTACTTTGATTTTTCGACACTTAAACTACAGGCTTTATAAAACATGTAATTAATTAATATACAATTACTTTGCAAAAAGTGTAATTAATTACAGTCAAGTACAATTACGTTATGTCGCGTGATGCCGAGGGAGTGACTATGCAAATAACAATGACACAAGACATTTACAGACACTTTCTTTCGTTTGTAAGAAATATTAATGTATACAGGGAAATTTTCGCCCCCGTTTTATTTTCGTCCCTTTCGCCCTATCATCGGTTGGGCGAATTTAAAACGGGGTGAATTCAAAGAATACAGTACAATTTCTTAAACGGAACTGTGACTGGGCGAATTAAAGACGGGGCAAAATAGTGTGAAAGGGCGAAAATAAAGCGGGGCGAAAATAACCCAGTATACAGTATACAGAAAGGCATGACTGTCTCTCGACTGCCACTCCTCTTTGTACTGTAACAATAAATTCCTTACAAACAAAAGAAAGTGACCGTAAATATAACTTTGAACACTCTACGACGGACCTAAGCTTCTTACGTAATGTCGCATGCAGTTTGTTGTCGAAGGAATGACTCACAGGCACTTAGGGTATGGACCCCCACTTTTTTCCCCATTTTTTCTTTATAAATCTGGGTTCGAGTCACCCTTTTCCTATTTTTTATTTTAATATGCACTATATGTTATCAATAATGTAACTCTTTTGTCTCTTTAAGCTGTCTTTGTATATTTCGTTTTCGACTACTAGTAATACATGTACATAATAAGAGAGAAGGCTTATTACTCTTTTTTCGCCTTCCGCCCCACCTCGCTTCAACTTCGCTTGATAATAAATCTAAAGCAGAATAAAACATGGGATATGCATACATTAAGAAACTTGTTATACATTCCTCTTCCTTTTCATATTTCCATTTATTTATTATGTGCTCCCGATGGAAAAGGGGTGGGTGGGGGTGGTCCATACCCCAAGTGCCTGTAGAATGACTATGCAAATGACCACGACACGATATTTACAAAAACACTTTCTTTCGTTTGTAAGGAATTTGTTGTACAGAGAGGCGTGACTGTGACGTGATGCAGTGATTCCACTGCCACGCCTCTCTATACAATAAATTCCTTTCAAACGAAAGAAAGTATCTTGGTACTGTAAATATAACTTTTTATTAAGATACTGTTCCTCTAGATAATCTAAAATATTACATGTAAACTAGCAAAGGAGTGTTTTGCTTACGTCTTTGCGCGACAAATTAACAAAGAAACTTTATTTAAAAAAATTAGCTTATTCATTTAAATCTTCATTTCTTAATTTAAAGCACCTTACACGCTAGGCTATGTGCTCTTTCTTTTTAATAATTCAAAAAAAAAGGATCAAGAATTGTACGAGGGTTGTTCGAAAAGTTCGTGGACAACTGTCATATCTTTTTTATTTGACGTCATATGTTATCCAAATTTAAAATGAAGCAAATTGATTTCTGTTAGATCAAATAAAATGAAACTTCACACATCAACAAAACGAATATTTTTACATATTATAATGTGCTTATTTTAAATTTCAAGCAAGTAATATAAAAATGATTAACATCGTCCATGAACTTTTCGAACAACCCTCGTATTTAAAAAAAAATGTTAATAGTCATTATTTCGACACGCTTTAATATAAGTAAACTGACATTGCAGTTTCTGAAAACTTAATGCCAACATGTTTCATAACTGATTCATAAACAAAAAAAATTACGTCATGCTAAACCATTATGACCTTGATATATGTAAGCAAAAAATTATATTTATGTTCTCAAATTTGTAACAGAATGAGATATATTTCTTTTATTTTTAACATCACTATAAATGTTATTTATTAGAAGTTTTTTAATCACTGAACATTGCATATTTGAGTAGATTACTTTAAACCCACTAAAATCGCTTAATTACCTTATGCTTTTGTAAATTAATTAGAAAGGATTCTCCTTCAAAATAGTGGTTATAAAGAAACCAAATGAAATGTAGAGTCTGATTTGACTTTGAATGTTAATTACACGCAGATTAATCATTTATTTAACATTTGTTCAAATATCTTCAAATCTGATAAATGATTTGCATCTAGAACAGGCGTGTATCCTAAATAAAAGACAATGAAAAGTAAACATGCAAAAGTGTGTCTAAACTTCGAAAGCGAAAAAACAAAAAAACAAAAAAGAAACAACGTTCAGATGCGTTCACTTGCATGTATTTTGTTCTTAAAATTTAATTCTAATATTAAGTGACCAACATGTACTTGATAATAAGTTAAAATATTTGGAAATAGCCGGATCTAGCACCGTTGTTTTTTTTTTAATAAAAATTAAACTTGATATAAAATAATTAATTGACGATGCATGATAAGAACGGTACGTTCACATTATGCTTATATACCGGATTTATGTTTGCAGTAATAGTGACGCAGTTTCTCCCATTTGTTTTTAAATTAACATATGTTACAGACATGATTAACACGCATTATCTGGGATTGGCCTTAAGAAAAACTAATTTAAGGCTATTCCAGGTGTGGTAAGAACCCTATATATACAAGTAGTTAGCAGTTTAGTGAATTTTTAAGTGCAATAGAAATTTGAAACAAAAGTTTATAGAAAACTACGTGCAATTTATAATGGATAGGTGGATCGTGCTCTTTGTGTTCTTGTTCACAGTAATTTCACTGGCTACTTGTCAGGTATGGAAATTTTTCTAGTATTGTTTAACGATAGTTAGAAACATACTTTAAATTGCGTTTGTTTTATTTCACAAGAAAAAACCCTGTGACAGTCATTTCTATTTATGCATTAGTCTCACTCACATTTGCATATGTCAAAATCAGTCACTCTTTAATGATGTTCATTCAATTAATATTTGATATTAAACAGTATTATGTTTCCATAACTTGTCGTTTCAGGTTTTAAGAAAAAAAATATTCTAAAGTAATTCAACTGAATTAAAAAAAAAAAAATAATAGAACAGAATCAATATGCATGTAAGCACCTCTATGTTGAAATTGTTCATATAAAGACTGTCATGTTTTAATAAAAATTGTAATTTTGTGAAACTAAACAGGATGTTCCAGACAAAAGATGTCGATCGGGTTATGCCTTGGCTAACTTCTACTGTGGACGAGGAGGCAGGCGATGCCCCACAGCATATGAGTGTAACATCCACCCCTCCGACAGATACGCTATATGTTGTCGGAGAGGGTAAGTTTCTTTCTGTTAAACCTCTTTATAAATAAGAGGCCCACGGGCCTTATAGGTCACCTGAGTATTGTGCAACAACTTTCAAACAATTAAATTTGGTCCGTGTTTTAAACCAGAGGCCATGAAATTCGCAATTTCACAATTTTGAAAGAGGTACCATTGCTTATAATAATTATAGACTTAGCATGCTTACTCTATTTACTTAATACCCAGAGGTAGATCAGAGTAACATTAAGAGAAAATGCACTTCCACTTTATAACCAGTTGTGCACCTCATCCCAAAGGAACCACTGATCCTGGGGCCACATATTTCAAAATTTTGCAAATTTTATCATAAAATGGTTGATTAACACCAAAGAGCAGATTTCAAAGCATTAATTTATTTTCAGATTTGTACCCCCCCCTCACCGCCGACCTTGGGAAGGAGCGGGGGGGGGGGGCATAAAAAATAACCATTTTGCTAGGTGCACCTTTCTTCATCATGAATATATATATATATTTGGATCACTGGCATAAAACCCAGGAGCAAAGGAAAGATTTTCAAAGTATTAATGTATTTTAACTATATAATCAATAGAGCCCCGCCCTAACACCTGAACCCATGACCCTCGGGCCATAAAATTCACAATTTTGGATGAGGCACTCTTGCTTATCATAACTATGCACTAAGTTTATTTAATACTCAGGAGCACAGAAGATTTTAAAAGAATTAATGCATTTTCACTATATGATCAATAGAGCCCCGCCCTAACACCAAAACCCCTGACCCTGGGGCCATAAAATTCAAAATTTTGGAAGAGGCACTCTTGATCAACATAACTATTTACTTACATAGTTTATTTGATACCCAGAAGCAGAGAAGAAGATTTTCAAAGAATTAATGCATTTTCACTATATGATCAATAGAGCCCCGCCCTAACACCAAAACCCCTGACCCTGGGACCATAAAATTCAAAATTTTGGATGAGGCACTCTTGATCAACATAACTATTTACTTACATAGTTTATTTAATACCCAGAAGCAGAGAAGAAGATTTTCAAAGAATTAATGCATTTTCACTATATGATCAATTAAGAGCCCCTCCCTAACACCAGAACCCCTGACCCTGGGGCCATAAAATTCACAATTTTGGATGAGGCACTCTTGCTTATCATAACTATGTGCTTGGTTAGTTTATTTAATACCCAGGAGCAGAGAAGAAGATTTCCAAAGAATAAATGCATTTTCACTATATAATCAATAGGGCCCCACCCTAACACCAGAACCCCTGACCCTGGGGCCACAAAATTCACAATTTTGAAAGAGGCACTCTTGCTCATCATAATTATGTACTTAGCTAGTTTATTTAATACCCAGAAGAAGAGAAGAAGATTTTCAAAGTATAAATGCTTTTTCACTATATAACCAATATAGCCCCGCCCTAACACCAGAGTTCCTGACCCTGGGGTCATAAAATTAGCAATTTTGGAAGACGCACTCTTGCTCATCATAACTATGTGCTTGGTTAATTTATTCAATACCCAGGAGCAGAGAAGAAGATTTTCAAAGAAATCATGCATTTTCACTACATAATCTATATAGCCCCGCCCTAGCACTAGAACCCCTGACCCTAGGGCCATGAAATTCACAATTTTAGTAGAGGACTCAATGCACATTACATTCATGCCAACAGTTTGCCTGCTTGATGTCCAGGAGTAAAGAAGATTTTTAAAGATTGCAATAATTTTAGTGGTTTTGGCCCCACCCCTCAGGCCCCAGGGGGGCCGGGACCATAAAATTCACAATTTTAGTTCCACTTTACCCAAGAATGCTGTATACCAAATTTGGTTGAATTTGGTTCAGTGGTTTCAGAGAAGAAGCTGAAAATGTTAAAATGTTAACACACGACGCACGACACACGACGACGGACGAAAACGGATAGCAATAGGTCACCTGGGTTTACTCAGATGACCTAAAAAGTAAAGCCTGTTACCTTTATATACAGTTCGTTTGTTGTTTTACGCCAGTCTTGCGATTTTTACACTCACATTAAGACGCCACTACTTGCCGGTGTAGAGCTGCAAATTTATGATTTTCGGTACTCAGGTCAATTGAGTAGCGAGGGATTTTTTAGTGCCAGTATGTACTAAGACAGGGGACACCGATTTATACACGTTCAGCCTCATCCAAAGAATCGGTCCCCACGTCCCTCAGTGGGATTCGAACCCACGACGTAAGAACAACGCCTTACTCCACGACTCTAATGCACATAACGGCACGCAGACGGCTCTTTTAACAGTAAAAACCAGTGATAAGAAATCATAGGTCACGGGGACATTAGGCTTCCGTATAATTTACCTTCTTCATATCTTTTGTTTGTTTGTTTAACGTTCCTTTAAAAATTTTAACTCGTATAAAACACTTGCCGATTAAGTGGTACTGTACTAGGGACTTAATTCAAAGCTTTAATTAACAATGATGGACCTCATGACAACACCTACTGCGACACAGGACCTCAGTCTCCTCCGAGGGACCGCGGACTCCATTTCTCACCTTTAGTTTTATTTCCTTATCTAAGAAAAGGGCAGTCCTCATGAGCGATAACTTTAATACCAAGTCGGGGTGTTTTTGTTATCTCTCTTGCTTTTGATTGCCACACACGTGCGTCCCTGTCTAATAACATGTTTCATTATTTTTCGTCTACTTAATTAAACAATTTCACATTTAATCTCTTATATTGAAAATAAATATTTCTTTTTTTACGTTTCAGGTACAGAGGGTGACAAGTTAGTACTGACACATGTTCTGGATATCACTGATAAAAAAATCAAAGATTAAACTTTAACGATATTTTAAAAAGATTTCTTGTTTTTTATGAAGAGGTCTATGAGCAACATCACTCACCCGAGGAAATACGGGATTGCTTTAATTTCTATTCCTGTTCTCTTCCTACACTCGGAACTCCTCGGGTGGCTCGTACCTTGCACACTATGAATGGCGTAGCGGAGTCAGCCGAGGATTGCCTAGTGCTCTTCCTACGTACATGTAAATATTGGCCTTTAGTTAACTTACCCAACCCCCGGTGGTCGTGATTTGAACAAATTGAAATCTACACTTCCATAGTGTTACGACTGATCCTGGCTTTCTTTATTCAAGTTGTATTCTATGTATTCCTTTGAAGAAATTTGTTCCCTAATTGAAGCACTGCCCTTCACCAAAGGGTTATGATTTTAACAAACTTAAATGTACACTACATGTGAATGATTTAAGAGAAATATGACCTCTCGCTTTCCTGCTCTTGAGAAGATTTTAAATGAATTTGTGTATGTATATCTTATTGTAAACCTTGATACACCTGTGGCCTAATCCTTCATCTGGGTTGGGGTTATCATCATTAGAACCGACTTGAATCATCACTATAGTATATGGAATTAAATTTCACTTGTTCTGGCCCTGTACTGGAGTCTTGAAAAAAAAAGATTCCTATGGTATTGTAACGTGTACCCCTGCGTTTGGGTTCTTATAGGCTTACTCTAACTGAGTTACTCTATCTGAGTATTTGATCTAATGATTTAAATATTTACAATATAACAATTTTCCCTAACAATTTAACCTATCTGGGTTATTCTTTAATTTCTTTAATCACAAAATATATACAGGCGTGGTTAAATTATGACTTGGTTAAACAAAGCACCGTGTACCTTGCCCCAGGTTCCTATTGATGGCGGATACTAGGAGTTTCGTTCTTATGCAGATCTACAGGCCCCAGTATCTCGCCTCAATTCCCCGGGTTTCTTGCCACTGGTGCAATGTATTCTAATTTCTTTTATTTCACCTTTTCTTATTCTTACCCAAATTCTTCTACTGCTTCGTCTTTGCAGCTCCGCAAACGACTGACAGACCCTGAAACTCTCAGCGCGTTCTTATATATACCCCTTTTGGGTGAGTCTATTTCAACTCAGACAAGGGGGGGGGGGCAGATTATTCCATTTAACCCGCATTCTTGGTCTTCTTAACGTTTATAGTTACCACAAATCATTACAGTGTAAAATGACTTTTTCAGTTAGTAGGATATAGGTCTTGCAAGATTTTAAAATTCACAAAATGAAAAAAAGTGATTATAGTGTTCTCGAGCCACGGGAAGGACATCTTTGATCTCGATCTTTATAAAAAATCAAAGTACTCAGAAGTACAGAGAGCCGGGCTCATTTACAGAGTAGAGTGGATTTCTTACATGAATCACGTTTATCAGACCTGCCAACCAAAATTGATGCTGTGGGGGGTCATGACCCAACATTCAGAATTGAAATGTTGGGTCATAGCGCACGGCGACATTTTTGTTGAGGTTTGAGTAACAAAATGCTCCCTAATTTTTAGGCATCAATGCAAACAGTCAAACACATGCATGTATATGTTATATTTTATTGCAGACTTAATTTTTACTTAGGAAAGGTTACTTAAAATTGCTTGTATAAGAACACTTTCAGATTGATAGTAAGATTCAGATACTTTTAGTCCAATAGAATTTTTGCAAAGTTTTAAAAATTTAAAAAGTTTCTGGGAAACATTTGTTAGATTCTACAATGATTAATTTTCAACATATTACACAATCAGAAAATTGTAATTAGACATTACATTGAAAGATTAATATTGAAAAATTGCTGCTGCAGGGGGTGGTGGTAAGAAATATGTGCCATCTAATTTCCTATTATTAATTTTAAAACACACACAACAGGGGTGTGCAATTAGAAAAATCAATTACTAGCCCACGGGCTAGTGGCAGCTATAAAGTTACTAGCCCCAAGTGAAAAGTTACTAGCCCAAATATATGTGCAAAAATTGAAATAAAAAAGCTATTTGTTGAAAAGAAATTAATTATTGAAAAAGTCAGGGTACTGAGGTCATTCTTTTTACAATTAAAATTGACAAAAAAAAAATTAAATGAATCAAATACTACAAAATAAATTATGAAGGATACCTAACACCCCAAACAAAAACTTAAAATCGTTAGAGTCATGAT